TTGACAATGAACAGAAGTGAAATCCAGGCCCCGGCAAAGCCAGTGTGGTCTTTCTCATGATGACTCAGGAAGAGTGGGCTCAGAGAGAAGAAGCTTGAGCTAAGTAGGGAGGATTTTAAGCCAGATCACCAAGCTATCCAGCAGCTGGGCATGTCTAGGTCTTCCAGATCTGGCTGTAAGACCCAGCTGTGGCACCTCACTCAGTAAATGATGCTCAGGTCCTATCTTTCTGTTTCTTTCATTAGTGGGTGCCCTTCCACCTCCTGCAGAAGACACAGAGACACCATCCAACAGTATGGAATCAATAACATCAGAGCTAAAGTCCCCCACCCCACACTGCCAACGACATTCAGGTTAAGCCCCACTTTACAGATGAGAAGACTGAGACCCAAGACCCATTTCATGTCATCTCCACAGACGCACAGGCAAGAAAGTCACAAAGGAGTGCTGTTTCAGCCTCTGGTTCAGCTTATCAGAAGGTGACACATAGCTTCTCTTGGCTGGAGAAGCAGGGTTACAATTTTTTTTTTTCTTTCAAGGAGTTGTGACTTTTTAATATAAGTTGGTTCGTGCACAGGCATTTGATTCTTCAATTAATTTCCATCTAAATGAGGTTTTCCTGGAGATAACCTGTGTTTTAGTTCCATTTGGGCTTAATTTGCATGACGGAAGCCTCTGTGTCTGCCAATTCCAATTCGTTCAGTGAGTCTAGCTCTCATTACCTGGATAATGCCCTCCTGCCCACAGCAGCGTGTAAGCTGAGAGATGGACCGATTTGCAACAACAATGCAGTGGTGGAAGTGGTCCCTCTCCTTTCCCGATGCCACTCAATAAATAGGAAATAAATTATTAAATAATCCACGTGTTGATGAGGGTTCTCCATCACAGTATTTACAATGCAAAGGAAGAACTATCAAAAATTGAAAACAGGAACAAAACTAATAAATAAATAAATAAATAAATAAATAAATAAATACTCAAGCATACAAACAAACAAAAATGGGCCACAGGCAGAGAGTCTGACTACCACGTAGATCACTGGTTCATTTGGTATAGAAATAAGAAAGGAAAGGTTTCAACTAAAAAAGAAAAAATATGCAATGACATTATACCGGGTTTAAATTTTTCAGCTGGATTAAGTTAGCCACTTGGGGAGGGACATATTTTAAGCAATTCTCTCTCTGCTGTTGTTTTATCAGACCAGCATTTCTATTCAGTTGGAAGGAGAAGCAAAGCAAGATGTGTGCTCATGAGACCTTATTTTGTGTTCCAGGAATTGAACTCATGACCTCACACTTGCCAGGCAGGTGCTGTGCTGCTGAGCTATATCTCTGGCCCAGAGACTAATTTTGAATATTTATGGGAAACAAGAAATGAAAAAACTATAGCAGGAGAAAAGGCGGAAGTGGGGCCTGATAAAGAGAAAAAATGCTTTCTGCAACCTTTGGCAGTATCCTAAATTTTGACCTCTTGAAGCAAACCATTTTGGGCAAAAGAAGTAAGGAGGGTACTCTGAAGCTGAGATCTTTCTGTCTTTCCAACTTTATTCCGTTGCTGAAATAGTTAGTTTCCTTCCAGGAAAGGAAATGAACAGGAATGTGGTCAAACGTTGTTGAACTGGAATGATTCTGTGCTAGGGGCTTTGAGTTAGCTTTTTCTAATTAACTGAAAGGGATTCATATCTTGCTTTTAGTTTTTTTTTTTTTTTTTCTCATGATTGAAAACCTCCTAAAAAATCTTTGAAGTCCTTTCGTTTTTCCTTTGAGTCTACTGGCTTTGGAGAGTCTTTTAGGCCTCAGGCCAACATGTATGATTATTTCTCAAAAACTTCTTCACTTCAAAGAGGTGAGAACTTTGGTCCAGGGAAAGGGATCAATTGGTCCAGTTTCACTCATTTATTGCATATCCAGGGAAGGAAGGGCAAAGGGCTTGGGTGTCATGCTATGCGGTCTCGCCCTGCTTCGCCTCCTATCTGGGATGGTGGTTTGGGGCCAATCCCTTCTAGTGTTCAGTAGCAGAAGGTAGTGAGCCTAAAGTGGGCAGATGATAATATTAGCTAGTTGAAATTACTGGTGCCTCAAGAAGAATTCTATTTTGGACAGAATAAAACAAGTGTGAAAGAAATTAGAGAAATATACCACAGGGTGGAGAGAGAATTTCCCCTTGGGAGGCAGCTAACCAACTTCTTGCAAAATTTCCCCAGGATACGGATGCTTCCTTGGTTGAGTTAGGGCAGAGCAGTCACATCTCCAGGAAAACCACCAGGGAGGTTGCAAGGGGTTCAGCAAACCCAGAACTGGACCAGACAAGTAGATAACTGCAAGGCTATGGATAGTGACTCTGGAAGGGGCAAGAACCCTCTCCAGCCAGCAGCCAGAAGACACCGCTCTTTGTGAGAGGCTGAACTGACAAAGATTTGTGAGTCCCGGTTTCCTGGGATGGGCTCAGAAATTAGTTCCTTGGGGGAAACACCTAGATATTCCCTCTATTTTATTTCTTAGCTTCAGCCCAGGTGCCTCCCAAAGGGATTGTTACCAGGAACTTCAATTTTGTACAGTTTTACCTTAAATGCTAATTTTACACCCTAGCCCCTGACGTTAGCCGTGACCCCAACGTGTCATGCCAGGGCCATAGCTCCTGGGCTCTCTGGTTGTTCTTCTCTTCCTAATACCTCAGTGAGGAAGCTGGTGGGTGGGACTTGTGGCACGGGTCTGATCTTCTCCATGGTTCTCTGAGTAATAAACCTGGAGACTCATGCACTTCTGGGCCAATTCTAGAATGTTCTGGACTTAGGAAGCTTCAGGGAAAAAGAAAAACATCCTCATTCACATTTGACTTTTCAAATCACATCCGGAAACACAATTTAAAACAAAAAAAAGATGTGTAAAAGTAATTTACATGTTCTCCCATTCCCGAAATACACACATACACAGAAAAATCCTTCCCGTATAAATAACGTGAATAAATAAATAAATACTGCTAATGGTAAAAGAAAACTATCATCACACAAATAAATAAACAAATAGATAAATAAATAAAATAAATAAGAGTTTTGCTAGGAGCCTTAGGCAAAATGGTCCCCTGGGGTTGTCTGAACAAAAGACAGTCTGCATGGGAGGCGCCTAGGGCCCTCTCAGCCAACCTGCTAAGGAGGTTTGGTTACTTCAGGAAGCCTTTGTCTCTTTGAGGAGACTGGAGTCCAGTCTGGGTTCCTGGGTGGGGAAGAGGGTTATTTACAGTTGCTGTACATGTCCTCCCCGGGGCACCCGCCCCTGTCCCAGGCACCTGCCATCCGGCCTTCTGCAGTGACAGCATTGGGATCCAGCAGTCCTGGTGGACAGGCTTTGGTCTGGGCTAGAGGCCATAGTGGGAAGGCCAGGTTATGCACTGTGGCCTGGGCACACTTGCTTCTCTCTTGTGCTGCAGGAAGGACTTTAAGAGCAGTTGACCCTGGGGTGTCCCTCCTGGGGGAGGGGCAGGGGCTATGGTGGGGAGAGATTACTGCTTCCAAGCAAAAGGGGTTTTCCATCTACTGGGAAGGCAGAAGTTTGCTCTCTGCTTCCCCACCACCCCAGTACCCAATATTGAAGCTGGGGGTTGTCTGCCTCCCTCTGTCACTCCACACCCTGTCCTGTTGCTACCACCACCACAAACTTGAGACTCACCCGCAAGGCTCCGGAAAGCCATGCAGCTGGTGAGGGGGATGCCCTGGAGTTATTTTAGGGAGCTTCTCCCTGGCTTGCATGTTCTCAGTGCCTCCTCGGATAAGACAGCTGGTGGTATTTGTGTATCAGAGGGCAGCTTACCCTTGCTGCCCAGCCCTGGGCAGGGGGAAGGTGAGTGAGAGCAGAGATGAAGCCAGGCCTTTCCCAAGCAGATAAGAAATCTCAGAATCTAGCAAAAGCCCTCTACAGGGAGCACTCAAGACCCTCACCTGCAGACTTTCTGAATTTGAGTCTTTGCTTCAACCTGGCAAAGATCCCTAGGCAAGGAGAGTGGCTTAGACTGAAGGGTGGGAGGGGAGGTGCCAGGCTGCCCTGGGTGGTAGCATTGGGGTGTGGCAGTTTGGGAGGTGGGGAGGGGGCGGACAGGCGCCAACCGGAGGGCCAGGCCAGACTGGCTGGCGCTGGGGGCTGGCCGCTGGCCACGGCACCGGGGAATGTTTAGCAGATGGTCCCATGGAAGGAAGTCAGTGCCAGCTAGCAGGACTGAGGCAAACTGGGGACGTAGGTCGGCAGGCAGGGCTGTCTTGATACTATCTCCCTTTATGTGGGGTGGCAGAGCCCCTGGGAACAACCAGGAAGTGTTTTATGTAAGTCTTGTGGCAGCCTCTGCTCTGTAGGTGGAATCTGATGGACCCCTTCCCCCGTCATCTGCCACTACCTCCAATGTCTATGTCCCCTATGCATATCCTTTCTTCTAAGACCCCCCCCCCCAGCTTTAGCTCTGCCCCAGGAGGTTAAAGGTCTGGCTGTTTGTCTTGGACCTCAACAGCCCTGGTTCTCCACTCTCACCGATTCCTGGGGTGGGGGCCCATAAACGTGCAGCTACAAGAGTGGATGACAGGAAGAATGAATGCAAGGGCACATGGGATGAGTCACCCTGGCCTTCCGTACACATCCTGCGAGCTGTCAGTGAGCACAGTTGTTTCCATACATTGCTAGCTGGGTTCAAAGCTTCTGAGTCAGGGAGCAATTCCTTTTCCTTCTAACAAAACCTTGAGGTTATGCAAAAAAAAAAAAAAAAAGTTCTCTGCGTCTGCCCAGGCCTGAGTTGAGCCCCAGGGTGGTGCTGGTGGAGGCTCCTAGCAACTTGACACAGGGAGGTGCTGCCCCTATTCCCTTTTTTTCCTCCTCCCCAGGAAAGCAGGCAGGACAGGGTCCAGGAGCTCTGGATATCTGTCACCAGCGAGAAGGTAGGAAGGGCAGGTGTAGGGGAGTCTGACAGCAAAAAAAAAAAAAAGGTCCCCATAAGCAGCTGGCTCAAGGGACAACTTCTGCTTAGCGCCTCGTGCTGGAGTAACTGTCTGCTGAGCTGTAGCTCCGGCTCCTGCTCCGACTCCGGCTCCGGGAACCCAGGCTGGGGCTGCGGGAGCCAGAGCTGCTGCTACTGCGGGTCCTGCTCCGGCTCCGGCTCTGGCTCCTCTGGCTCCGGCTGCGACTTCGGCTGCGGCTCTGACTGCGGCTCCGGGAATAGCTGCGGCTGGCTGAGCGGCTGCTGCTACTGCTGTACCAGGAGGAGGCGCTGCTGAGGCTGCTGGATGAGGAGGGGCTGGGCCGGTAGTAAGGGATGGGGCGTTTCCGGGCACTGTGAGAGATGGGAGGAAGAACGCATGAGCGCTGGGCTCTCTTTGCTCCCAGGAAAAGCAATATCCTTCCATTCCCCAGTCCCTGAGAGAAGCAAAGAAACAAAACCCTATCCTTTCTTTTTCACTTCTCTCGAAGTTCTGACAGCATCCAAAAATCTTGCTTAGTGCTAGTTTGTCTTGAAAAGTGATTATCTCTCTTATTTTCATTTTATTTATTTAATTATAACTTTTAACAAAGCAAGCCCGTGACTCAGAGCATCCAGCTGGCAGCAGAATATACTTCTAAATATTAGTTACAATTTCTGTTTGGCCAGTTTTACTTTTACTAGAACTATTTCTAGAAGGTTTTATGTCTAGGTGAGAGAGGCTGATTTTTCATTTACTGGAATGCATCAAATTTCCTGAAGGGGGTGTACAGTACAATCATTGAAAGAAAATTAAATCAACAGTCATGGCAAAAGTAATGCTGCAGACAGATGAAGTTTGGGAAACACTAATGGGTCGATTCACATGGATTATTTCAGGTTGACTAATGAAGGCTTTTTGGAAATACCACTATCTCCATCTTAGCATTCCTCCAAATTAACCCAAGGGGCTGGGCTGGGCTGGATCCAAGCCCTGGCTCTCTGGGTTTTCTGGATTCTTTTACCCACCTGTAAGCCAAAGGTCTGAGAAAAACTCATGAAAATGGTGGGGAAAATGAGTTCACTTATACTTTGACCAAATTGGAGTGCACAAAAGTATCAGGCAGAACAAAAGCCAGGAAATACTCCTATGGAGATTTAGCCAGGCTTGGTCTGGAAGAGGACAAAAGTATTGAAACCTGCTGGGTGTCAGGCCTAGCCAGTGGCAGTTTGCACTCTTAGCACAAAGAAGCTGGAGAAACAATTTATCATGTTTTTTTAAAAGACCAACTTTTAAAGATCCATTTTACCATCTTGGTTACAAGGACATCTTCCACCGAGGGACCACAGATGAGAAAGGGAGCTCTGGGGAACATTTGAGAAAGGGACCACGTCTCTCTGCTCTTCCTGCTAGACACCTGTCCTGCTCTTTCCAGGGAGAAGCTGTTCCAGGACAGGCTCCCTGCTCTCCAGGGGCCTTTGGGTTGAGTGGTTGGATGATGCCTGAGAGGTCCAATTTTAGGACAGTTTTCAGCCCATTCACTCAGCTTTCATGGCCTGGGAACTTAGTTTCTCCTCAGAGCTTGGGCTTCCCTGCCCCAGCTTCTCTCCTCTGAGGTGTTACACATAATCTCATCCACCTATTCCAACCATTCAGTCAGCAACAATGGCACCCAGTGAGCTCAAAGTGCAGTCCCAGCTGTTTGCTTCTCTACATTTCATCTCATGATACTCTTGGGAGTTACTTCCTCCAGTATTCCATGGGTGAGAAAACAGCCTCAGGGGAAGGGAAGAGACTCTTTAGGTCACCACGAAAGCTGCACAACCAGAATTTGACTCCCAGTTCAGTGTTTTCCTATTACCCATCAAGGCTCCCTTCAGGGTACAATTACATGCAGGTCTATTTAAATCTGCGTGGGCAGGTCTAAATGTAGGAAGATGTCTACAGGTCCAGGACAACCCTTTGCTACATGGCTTGGCCCCCTACAGGCTGGTCAGACTCCTTTCCTTTCCCACACCTGTCACCAACCCCAGGCCACACCCTGTTCCTCTAGACTGACCCAAACCTTTCCCAGATTCCTTGTCCACAGCCCTCTAGCCCCATCCTTTTCTCTCTGCAGATGCAGGCGTTTTGACCCAAGAGGTGACTCAGGCCTCAGGTCTTACAAGCAAAGCACTGCTTCAACTTTTGAGAGAGGTGCCCCTGATCTCTTACAGTCCTCAATCTCGGCCCCAAGGAGGCATAAGGAGTTACTGAGGCCCTAAGCAGGAACGGGCAGGAACGAGGGAGAAGGTAGGATGCGCCTGCGCTGCGGATCTCACCTTGTTATCCTGCGGGCTTCCAGGTGGCTTGGGGAGTCTCTCCGACGCTTCCTCATGGGCGAGTAGGACCTGCGCCTCCGGCGCGCTCTCTCTCGCTCCCTTTGCTGCGAGTCCTCGCTGTACTTGGGGTCCCGCTCCCTGGAGGGGTACAGGGGGTGTTAGTGGGAAGCTAGGGTTGGGATGGTTTTCTAGGCAAGCTGTCCACTTCCGCTCTGCACCTGTTCCCCTTACCCACAGAGGCAAGAGCGGAAGGGAGGCAGGCACATGACGACCCCGCTGCGGGACGAGTCTCCGTGATTATCACCATGTGTGTGCGGGATGGAGGGGGAGTGCTGTGTGTTTAAGGGTGTCAGCCTTCACGCGTGCGCTTTATAGAGGTGCAGATGCTGCAGGGGTGAGGCTGTGTCACTGGCGCCTTGGGGTCCGTGGTTAGAAGTGGGAGCTCTGAACACAAGCACGAAAGCTGGGGAGAAAGATTCTGTGAGCTTGCTTGGGGGGGAGGGGTGGTGGTCATGAGGACATAGGATATAACTGGGGCCTTGCTGCCGCCCCAGATAGGAAGAAGACCGGTAAGGAGGCTGAACTGTCTCTGCCAGACTAGAAAGAGGAACTGGGCAGGTTGGGCCTGTGGAAGGGGCGGGAGAGACCCGGCTGGGAGACCAGGGCTGAGCCGAGGATCAGGGTAAAGGGGTGGGGCTTAGGAGGCAGGGCCTACGCCGGAGGCCGGGCCAGTGCAGGGAGGGGGGCCAGGGAGAGGCGGGAGGAAGAAGGGAAAGGGGGAGGGGGAGGGGAAGGGGAGGGGAAGGGCGGTGAGGGGTGAGGCTTGGTGGGGGCGGTACCTGCTGGGACTGTAGCGCGAGTAGCTCGGGCTGCGGCGGGACCGAGAGCTTCTGCTGGGCGGGCTCCTCTTGCCAGACTTGGAGGAGTAGCTGGGAGAGCGGGAGTAGGACCTGGTAAGAGGTAAAGTTTCATTTACCTGGTCCTCAGATGATGACCTTTTTTCTTTCTGGAAGCCCAGAGGAGCAGAAACTCGGACCTTACCAGAGAATGAAATCTCTTCCCCTTTGAGGGCTTAATAATGTGGACAACTTCTTTGTGAGTGCTTGCTATCCTGGCTATTTATTAACCGTGTAACCTTGGGCAGGAGGTTACACCTCTCTCGGCTTCTGTTTTCTCCTATGTAAAATGGGGATAATAATAGTGCTTACTCTAAAAATCATAAATAAGGGCAGATTAGGGTAAACCATTTGGCATTACTGCCACATCAGCTAAGTAACAATTAGCAAGTACAAGAGAAATGTTGACCATTACTGTCATGTATTTACTCATGCCAGACATCGAACCAGTGTTTTATGTATATCTCATTTAACTCAACACATCCTAAGATTAGGTACTGCTATGGATTCCCCTTTACAGATGGAGAAACAGAGACACAAAAAGGTAATATATTTGCTGAGCTTCACACAGCCGATAGAGGATACGAACCCAGATCTGTCTTGCTTTAAAGTACAGCAGTCCTCCCTTATGCCAGGTCTTTGTTTTCTGTGATTTCAGTTATACAAGTTAAGCCATGATCTAAAAATATTGAATGGAAAATTCTAGAAATAACACATCCATTTTAAACTGTGCGCTGCGCTGAGTAGCATGATCAGCTCTTGACGTGAGTCATCGCTGTGTCAGTGTATTGCTGCCTGTCTGCCAGTCACTTGGAAGTGCTCTCCTCATCCAATCCACTAGCACAGCATTGTAGGGCTCATGTGTACACCACCCTTATTTACTTAATGAGGGCCCCCAAGTGTAAGACTAATGATGGGGCAGTTGAGATACGCCAACAAGGACCTGTGGTGGGCTTTCTTTAAGTAAGAAGGTGAGTGCTCTTGGCTTGCTAAGAAAGAAAAACACATGCCCCGTATGCGAAGATCTATGGTGATGGCGAATCTTCTCTCTGAAATTATGAGGAAGGAAAAATTAATTCCTACTAGTTTGGCTGCCAACTCTGAAAGTGCAAGAGTTAGCGTCCCAGTGTGAGCATTGCTTAGCGAAGATGGAAAATAATTTCATTATAGGGCTTGGTACCATAGGTGTGTGCAGGCATCCACTGGGGTACTGGAAGGCAGTCTGAGCTTAAGGTATGTGTGTGGGGAGGGGCTGCTCTGTGTCCCTCACTCCTTTACTCCTCTCAGTTTTCTTTCCTCTCTGCTTGTGCCGTCCTCATTTAGATAACACCGCAGAGCAGGGATAGCTCATTCAACCTTAGTGCGCTGGACCAGCATCCTGCTGGAACTCCTTGGAAAGTTGCTTCCACCAACTTGCTTTTTTGGGAATTGAGGAATATTATAAGGAAGAGCCAAAATGCAACATGTTTGTAGCTGCCTGGAAGAGATATGGTCAGGCATTTCCATCCATTAACTATACCATATAGTGTCCCTTTTTTTGTGGATCTACGTGACTCATTTTTATAAACTTAAAATCAGACATAACTGCTTTGGCTCAATTTTTTTCTTTTCCTAATGTTGCAACAAGGGAGCAGCTTGTTTCTTTGCTCCGTCTCAGACTCACTTTTTCACAGACTCACTTGTGCGGTCCACTCCCATCCCAACTACCTAGCAAAGGGCATGACTTTTGTTTTTTTGTTTTGTTTTGTTTTGTTTTTTGTTTTGTTTTTTTAATTATTTATTTATTTGTGTGTGTGTGTGGCCAGCTCAGCCCACCAGGGGGCGGGGCTGGCTGGCATGTGGTGCTGGGGGATTGAACCTTGGTCACTGTGCTTTACTAAGCTTGTTCTAAGTAGGTGCTTTAGACCACTGAGCCATCTCACCAGCTAAGGGCATGACTTTTGGATCTTTTCTCCTGACATCATTTTTTATTTCTCTCCTCAACTTTCCTTTTAGTCTATTCTGCTGTCCTTACTTCCATCATAATGCTATTATGTTGAATATTATTCTTCCCTGGATTGCTTCATTTTTTTAGAATGGGCAGTCTCTTGAATCTTGAAATAACCAAATTACATAAGCTTTATTTACTTATTATTATTTTTTTACTGTGTGTTTTCTGAAAAGGAACGATCAGCCTGCTGTTGGGAACTTTTTGTTATACATGAAGTCCAGGGAAGGCATGGGTTGATTAGATTGGATGAAATCTTCTAATTAATTTTTAATTCTTGAGATCTCATACTTTTATACATTCTACTATAGCACTATCTGTATGAAGTAATCAAGCTAGTACCAATAGTTAGAAGTTAGGTGGGAGAATATAGAAGACAAAATCAGCCACAACTGTTCTTTGCCATGTACCTTAACTCTTTCAGTATGAATCTGCAGCTGTTCCCATGCTTATATCTGGACTGATCTTCTAGTGATTTGTGCTGACCAACAGACTAGCAGAAGTGGTGTCATGTCCCTTCTAATCCTAAGCCTAAAGAATGCTTTACAAAGACCCCTGTCATCATCATGTGAACAAACAGATAGGTCTGTTGGGTGGGTGACAGCATTGACCAGAGATGACTAATCAGAGGTCATTCAATCCAACCAGACTCCCGCTAGCCCACCAGCAGATTGCAGACACAGGACTGCGCCCAATAAGAGCAGAAGAACTGGCCAGCTGAGCCCAGCCCAAATTGCTAATCTGCAGAATTTAGGACTCAATAAACATTTTGTCTTAAGGATGCTATTTCTGGGAGTAACTTTCTCCGTAGCAGAAGTTAGTTTATTCTCAGGCCAACACCTACAAAAATAATTAAAATTTACTATGTTCCAAGCGCAGCTATAAATGCTTTGTAGTCTTCAGGATGAGCCAGTGTTTCATTATGTGGCTAAGAAAACTGAGAGGTTCATTAACTTTCCCAAGGCTACCACCTAGCCATTGGGTCTTCAACTTGACTTCAACACAGTCAAGTTGAAGTCTGCTCTTGTCTTCACACATCTGATTCTTCTCCATTATCTAGTGTCAAAGAGGGAACTCATCAGGGAAAAGGTCAAACTGCACTCACCTTTTCTCAGAGGAGGTGGATCGACTCCGAGTGTACCTGGGAGAGGCCCTGGGGTTTGGGGATCTGGAGGAACGACTGGAGGATCGTGTGCTGGCATAGGAGGAGCTGCGGGAACACTCTTTTACAGGGGAACTTTGGGCTGTGGATGGAACCAGACTGGACTTCTTCACCTCGGCACACTCCAGACATGGTGATTGAAATTCTCTGTGGGAGGAGGAAGGTCAGTTACTCCTCAACTGGCCACCACTCTGGGCATATCTTGACCTGATATTTACTTCTTTGCCATTGCCTAGGCTATGCTGTTCTCCTAGAAACCTCTTTCAACCTTCTTCTACTCTGGAAAGACTTTTCAAGAGATAGATATTAGAGAAACGAAACAAGAAGAGACCCTACAAGTACATGGATGGTCCAGCTCAGCATTCCCAGGTGTGGAATACATACCAGACGTGTCACTGCAGAGTATGCTGGGAGGTCACTGGGATTGGCATGATGCTAAATGTCAGATCAGTATCCTAGATTTAATCCTGTTCTTGACTTTGTCAGTCCCTCTGATTACATTAATGAGAAAACCCCTGGCTAGGTGCAGGTGAGGCCTTAACACTCTAACTCTGTCATTTCTCAAAGAGAGAAGAGCAGGTCCCAGGGGTCTTCTATTTAGGATATGGGGTGGTGATTTTCTGCTTCAGATAGCACTGTGCATTTTCTTTCAGTTAACTTATAGACAAAGTGAATTTTTAAAAGAAATAAATTATTATATAGCATGTTAAAAACTAAGGAGGGAACCTATGGTTGGTTTAAGTTTGGGACCCTGGGATGTAGCCCATTTTGCAGATGGAGGAATGAATACTGACCCCCAAAGTGGATGGAGACATTTTCAGACCTTTATACTCTAAGGACCAGCACTTCAGCAGCACTGTTTCATTTCGCCTTCCCAGCAACTTTATGAGGCTGGATCTACTATGATCTCCAGTTTTCAGAGAAGACTCAGGAGGGCACGACGCTCGATCAAGCTCAGTCAGAATTTCCAACTCTGACCTGCTCATCTCCAAAGCCCATGCCCCTGTCACCTCCTCAAAATCCCTACCTTCATTGTTGATGGCTTTCTTGATTTAAGGCGGATGCGTCTTTCACTCAGGTTGTATTTGCTGAGCCCTCTGTCTATAGCCGGCATGACATAATAGCTACAGATTTAACCATCATTTATATCTCAAAGTGCAAGGCAGGGTCTAAATTATTTAATTTGTCTGTCTGCATATATTAAATTAAGCAGGTAATGCTCAATTTTAGGGACAGTTTTCTATTTGTATGCTGACGCTGCCACTTAGTAACTGAATTTCTCAACTACTCCAAGCCTCAGTTTCCTCCATATGTTTATTAAAAAGCTTATAATAGTATATGTCCAATAAAGATTTTATGAGGAATTATGGAAGATCATTCATAGAAAGTATTTTTCAAAGTACCTAGCATGTGGTAAGAGCTCAATGAATATTAAATGCCATTATTTTTATTGTTATTATTGCTGTTCTGAGTTTTCCCTGCATAATGCCCTGCAGTGTATCAGTCAACAGGGGGTCTCTGTCTCCCCCCTGGGAACTTTAGTGCCTGCTCTTGGAGACACTGACATTTGCTCTAATCAGCCTTGGTTCCCAGCCAAGCTTGAGTATGGGCTGAGGCCAGTGATGTCTCGCAATGGGTCAGCCAGAAGCCACGTCTACATGTGGATGCCAAGCTGTTTATCCAGGACTGAAGCAGGATGTGCATGGGGAACAAAGGGTGCTCTGTTCATGAAGAAGCATTCAGTACTTCAGTGCTAAGGCTTTAGAAATCTTGGCCACTTTCAACAATGAGAGACTCCAAACCCAGAAAGAGGAAGATCCCACTGTTTGACTGGTAGAGAATGCTGGCTCTCACTCTGCATCTGTGTCTCTACCCCATGAACTTGAAAACTCCAGAGGAAATGGACCCTGTCAATTTTAGATCCTCAGCACCAAGCTCTGTGTGCCTGACATAGAGAAAGTGCCCGGTACCAGATTGAGGGATAAATAACTGAATAAAAGCAAGGACTAAGTGGTCAGTGCGGTTTTATAGCCTTGATTTTGACAGTACCCTCAGTGATGAACATTTTTCTTGTGATTTCTTGAGTGAGAGAGAGCAAAAAAAGGGATTAAGCAGAGGAACTGTATATTGGCTTGTAAGTAAATTGACTTGGCTTTTACCAAGTCCATTGAGTTGAACAAAAAATCTTTTACCTAAAATCATATCATATTGTAATTTATGTCTGTCTGTCTTTCTGTGTCTGTCTGTCTGCCTGTCTGCCTATCTATCTATCTATCTATCTATCTATCTATCTATCTATCTATCTAAAGTTTAATTAATAAACTTCCTTGTAAAGGAGCTTTAGTGTCACAGCATAACTGAATGGGAAGGCAGGGGGCTTCCACGTGATCCTTTCCCCTCACATGCAGCTCCATCCCTCACTATCAACCCCTCACTGGTGTATTTGTTATGATTCATAAACCCATCTGGACTCATCAGTGTCACCCAAAGCCTACAGTTTATATTAGGCTTCCTTCTTGCTGGTGTACATTCTGTGGGTTTAGAGAAGTGCGTGATGGTATTTAGCCATTGTGTTTGATCATACGGAATAATTTTGGTGCCTTAAGAGTCCTCTGTGCTTTTCAGTCTGTCTCTCACTGCCTCAAACCCTGGCAATTACTAATATTTTTACTTTCTCAATAATTTTCCCTTTTCCTGAGAGTCATTTAGTCGGAGTCATATTGTCCGTTTAAGCCTTTCCAGATTGGCTTCTTTCACTTAGCAATATGCGCTTGTTTCCTTTTGTGGTTTGATAAAACTTCTTTTATTTATGAATGATATTCTGTTGTCTGGATATGAGCTTTTTTTAAAATTTATTCACCTACTGAAACATATCTTGGGTGCTTCTAAGTTTTGGTAGTTACAAATCTTCCACAAACATCCACGTGAAGGTTTTTGTGTGGATATATTTTTAATTTATTGAAGTAAATATAATGGTATATTTTTAAATGGCCATGACTTAAGTCAGTGCTAGACTTTCTTTGAGCTTATTGATAAAACTGGCCTCCACTTTTGTCTGCATAGCCTCCAGCCTCCTGATATCAATACTTTAGCTTTGCTTGCAGATCAATCTGAGAACAGTGTGCTTCTTAGGCCCCAAATGTGGCATGTGGCACATTCTAGTCAAGAGCACAGCGTCCCCTAGACCAGAGTGCTTGGTCTAGGGCTGGGCAAATGATCCAAGTTGGGCCGAGTCCAGCCAATAACCGCTTGCCCTGAGGTCTTGCAGTAATTTTTAGGGAAAAAAAATCTTTTATTGGAGGGCTCAACCAACGCAGTGGTCACTGATTTGCATATCTGGGGAGTGACTGCCTAAGAATGGAGCCTACTAAATGGGAAAGCAGAACTGAGAGATGTGACTGTGCAGATTTCCTGTGCCTATTTTGAGTCCTTGGATCCTGCTGGCCCTGAAGTTAGTGTTCTTGGAACTTAAAGAGTCCTTTTGAGTTGAGTTTTCACTTGTTTGAAAGGAAGGCTCATGTGAAGGGGATGAAGATTGAGTAGGGAAAGCCGAGACCCATTTCCTACACTGAGTACACTCACCTTGACTCTCTGCCCCTGCTGGGGGGCGAGAGATTCTCCAGAATGGCCCCTTTGTTCTGGGGGGAGGAGGTGGTGAAGGAATTCCCTGAATCCGAGGTGTTGCCACTGGTGAGCTCCTGGCTTTTGCTGTGACCCGCACTGGGGCTCCCCTTCTCCTGGCCCTGAGACCTGGCTGAGCTGGTTTGCGTGGAGGGTGGCGAGGACGTGTCATTGCCTGAGTCATACTCCTGGGAGCGTCCTCGGGAGGTGGCGAGCGGACTGGCTGTTTTGGTAAAGAGGTCAGCGGCAGACCCCGACCCAGTGATCTGAAAGCAAAAAGACCCGTCGGACACTGCTGAGCTCCAGGCTGCGTCTAAATAACTGAGAATGTTTACCGTCATGATGCACTGTAACGAAAGGAAAGAGAGAGGAGAAGAAAGAAGAGACGCCAAAAAACAAAAGCACAAATTCCTGAAAGAATACCACAGAAAGGAGATATTTTTTTTACCCCCTGCTAGGATAACTGGAAGATTTAGGTATCATGCAGAGAAAAAGCATGCGATCCAGATTAAACCAAAGCAAAAGTAAATTATACAAAATTTAACTTCTAATGAATTAACTGAAACAAAAGAGACAACTCAATAGAAAGGGGTATATCCACCCCTAACCTAAAACAATAATAAAAATAAAGGAAGGGGAAGAGGGAAAATAAATGGGGCTATGGGCCTGAAAAAAATATATCTTGGAAATTAAAAATAAAAAGAGATAAAGCCAAAATTTTAAACTTCAACCAAAACCTCAATTAATGTAGCTTTTTTTTTTTTTAAGAAAAAAAGAAAAAGCTGCCTGAATAGAACTCTGAATAAATGTCACATGGGGAAAAGAAATGAAATAAAGATGAGAGTTTTGTGTGTGTGTGTGCATGTGTTTTTAAAAATATAAAGTCATGGTCACAAATTGACATTTGAGCAGTTTTCAACTGAAGGGGAAAAGAAAGGAGAGGGGCAAAATAAATGGAAGTCAAATAGTCTGATTGAAAACAAACAAACAAAAAAAGATCTCTACAGGTAGTGGTGAGTGTCCTTTTCCCCTTGTAGAAGATAGCTAAGGATCTTGAGTGGCTTCTAATAAATTCTCTCATGTCTTTGCGGATCATATCCACTTACCAAGCAAGAACTCCTCCTTTAGTAGGTAAGGTGTAAGAGAAAGGGAAGAGCGGGCAACGTGAGTCCATCATCAGAGTCGCAAATGACAAGAAAACACACACACCTTTCTGCACATCCTTACACTCGGCCCTGACTTGAGTTCTGGGGGTTCTTTTTTTTTTTTTTTAGTGTCTTGATAGGAGGGGGAACATCCATTCTGTTGGGTTTTCTCATTCAGGGGATGTGATTCACCCTAGTCAATCACTTTGTTTCCCAGTTGGATCAGGAAATCCTTGCTATGTATGTATATGGGGCCGCAGCATTGCTTGGACTTGGGGGTGGACCTCAAGGGCTCTCGGAGGGGGGAGTAGGTGCTCTGCAACTCAGCGCCTTAGAAAGGGCTTGAGGATTTGGTTTTGGCCTAACTGGGGATGAAGACTGGCCCCTAGGACCCAGTTTTGTGCTGATCTAGGACAGATGATGGAGTAGAGGAGGTGATGGAGGGCCATCACCAGGAAGGCAACCATAGTACAGTGGATGGTTTCCTTTAACATTCAGATCAGTACTGTGGCTGGGATGAAGCAGTGAATCTGGTTCTGGCTCCTGGTGACAGTACCCTTCTCAGCTGTGGGCAAGAGGGACCTCTGCCCTGAGCATTCCCTAGTGATAACCCAAGGAATCTATTGGGCCAGGCGGGAACCCTGTCAAGAGTGCTACCCTCACTCAACCATTCTGTGGGTACCTGGGACCCAAGGATTCTTTGTTTAAATGGTCCCTGAGCACCCTTCCTGGGTCTTTATATGTCTCCTCTGTGGATTTGTTTTCTCATGAATGGACCATGCTTCGAGGATATGCATACTCTTAGTATAAGGGTAGCTATTTGGAGAGAATCAGAAGTCCATACTGAGGTGCTTGTGTATGTGTATGTGGCTCAGCACAGTGCCAGCAGTGAGAAGGAGAAGGGAGGAGCCCAGACTTTGGGCAGGTTCTCCCCACACTGTCACTTCATGTCCTGCCTCTGCAAAGGACCCAAGATTCTGAATTCAAAGGCCATTTTGCAGATGTTTGGCAAGATAGGAAGACATTCTATCAATGTTTACTTATTTGATTCATAAACATTTAGACAGTAGAATAGTAGACCCTGTTTCTGTAGCCTGGCTCTGTGCCTCACACATATTAAAGCTTCACCAACAAGAGTTTACCTCCACCCACTTCCCCATCCCATGCTCCTGGGGCCCAAAGAAGGGAGACTGCTAGGCTTTTCTACACCATTTCTGCCTCCCGGCAATTAGTCACAAGGCTGAGACACAGAGACAATGGGACTTGGCAAATAATAGAGATAACTTCAGAAGCTTAGGGTGTCAACTCCTGGGATAGGGACGGAGGGCCCAGGGGTTTCTTTTATGGATTCTCCAGGAGGCTTTGTGCATAGGCAAGGTGCCAGGTTCAATCCAGGGAAGCTGCCATTTTACCTTCTTGGTGATCAAGATAGCTTTGCCTTGGAGGTAAGATCCCAAAGGTAAGCTAACCCAGATGGACTTTTCTAGTGAGATTTGTTTTAAAATAACATTTAGATCCTGTTCCTACTCAGCTCCTACTTGCCTTCTGGCTTGCAGTTGGGATAACATGTCTGCTAGCCTCTGAATTTCAATGATAGTATGTGTGTTCTCTTCACCACTGCCTCTGCCAGGAATGAGGAAGTATGGCACTAGGAAGCTGAGCCTTTGGGCCAGGGCTTGATCCAGCAGTGGGCTCAAGGAGTCTCTGTTCAAGAGATGGTGAATAGGTGGGGCCTAGTATATCACAAGGGAATCAAGCAAGCCCATCTTCCAGGGAACTAGGCTAGAGGCTAATTCGAAGGCAGAGGTCTGTGAGTGCCATGGTTTCCAGTGTCTTGTGTCTTGTTCCCTGGGGACATCCAGGCTGGGTCTTTCCTGTCCAGTTATTTGTCCCCAGTTTTGATGTCTATTTTCAAAGCATTTTCCCTGATGAGTTATGGGGCCTCATGAGTAAGGATTTCAAGTTTGATGTCTTTCCAGGCGGGTGGATGAAGAACAGCACCTCGTCTTGCTTATGTTCTTAGCCCCACACCCTGAACTCACAGGGATATTCTCAGACTCTCTCCACCTGGCTGTGATTTGTATGGTTAGAACTGAGAACTCCACAGCCATCATAGTTTTCCATCATTATCAAAAAGCAGAGATAAAGGTATTAATGAGACACTCTCATTAGGTTGACTGTGGTGCGTGAGAATACCAACCTCCCCTTGCTTAGAAGTCCCATTGGTTTGCATGAATCTAAATTGACATAGATTATAATCTCTTTTGAAACCCAGCCCTGATTACTTTGTAAATCAGCTCCGCAGACTTCACAAATCCCATCTCTTCCACACATTACCACGTTAGCTGCCACGATCTAAGCTAACCAATTTCATATATATAAATTTTTTTTGGCTCTGCCATTGGGTCTTTCTGTCCCAAACCCAGGTTATTTGTATATGCTATTTCCTTTGCACAGAATACTCTTCCTGTCTCCCCCACTGACAAAAGTAAATTCATTCATCTTCTAGGTTTTATATCACCTCCTTTAGAAAGCCTTCTCTGATTTCCCCGGACCTGGATAGCAGAGTATACTATACTTCGTTCATTCATCCGCTCTCTCATCCATTCATTCACTCAACAATGAATGTCATTTGTGATACAGCACTGTTATTCTGAGCTGCAGTTGCTTGTCTTAGTTGCTTCATCTGGTTGAAGAGACTGTTGAGGACAGAGGCCAGGACTGGTACAAGGCTATATCCCAGGCCCTTCTGTGCTTGGCATAGATTATGTGCTCAGAAAAAGCATTGTCTAGTGAATGAGGCTCCTCCATGGTCCCTGGGCAGTCTCTGTAGGCCCATCTTAATTTCACCCATTGATAGAAATCAGTGACTTTGGTGAAGTCCAGCTGGGTGACTGTCAGCTGAGTTATTGAGGGATTTGATGCTTTCTTTTTTTAGAAGAATCTGGCCTTTATCATAATAAAAATAATTCTATGAAACTATTAGGGCCTTGAGACCAGGACAAAGCTATGTAAGTTAGAGCAAATATTGTTATTTAAGCATTGTGTAGAAATCTATGACAGTGATAAGGAATCCCTTCTCCTCTTTCTTTCCCTCTTTCTGATGCTTCTTAGATCCAGAACACTGAGAGAAAGCACATGGCAGCTGCCAGCCTACACTGTGGCTTTAATTGGTTTATGAAAAAGGGTTCTTCCAGGGTGAAGGACTAAGAAAATCACCTCTGGCCAGACAAGAGATGCACCCTTCTTTGGGCTGAAGCAGCCCCATATCACATCCAAGGCTTGGGGGAGAGAGGGTGGGTGGTTTATGCTTTCTCACCTGCCTTTTATACAGGATACAACTGTCATCTTATAATATCCTACAAGGGTACTAAACATGGGGTACTCACTCTGACTTGCTTAGAGGATAATTTGGCGGGAAGCAAGCAGCCATCTAAGTCATGTCTTCCTTATTCTTTAGCTGAACCATATCGGGTTTTACTTTTACGAATCCTGATGGCTCTGTTTGTAATTCTACATAGTCAGAACATTTTAATAAACTCACCATTGGGAATGTCTGGATAGTTTAATGGCTTTCTAAGTCCTGAATCTCTCTTCTTCAGAACTGTCTTTCCACCCACACGAAGAAGAAGAAAGAAAGACGCAGTTGAGGGGAACCAGAGGTGGAATGATGGTGCACTGGGGGGTGATGTTATGAAAATGCAAAGGAGGCTTTTGAGTCATGAAAGCCCTGACCAGTTGGACAGTGGAGGTTCCCATGTGGCCTCCTGTGTGCGGGTCTCTCCCTCATTGTCAGACAGACCAAAGGACACAATCACCACTCAACAATGACATGATAGGGCAGATCCCCTTTGCTCCTCTCTGTCACATCATTTAGATAAGAGGCCTCTCAAAATTCACTTTTGAAGAGCCCTTCTGTAACTGTTGGGAATTTCTGTGCATATAACTGCTATCTGTCCCTGTGCTGGGAAATGCTCCTCAAGACTGTCACCTGGAAGTGCCATCCCAGATGACCATCTTCCAGTAATAATGTCTTTGTGGTACCCAGGATCTCCACTTAGGATGAGGAACACTCACACTTGGGCTCTGTTCTTCTCTCTCTCCAATCTCACCCTCCTCCATCTCAACCTTTTTCCTTCCTGGCCTGCCTTCCCAGAAGCCCACCTTTGGGGCACAGCACAAAATTCAGTCCCTGTAAGAAGGACCTCATTACCAAATAAAACAACTCCTGTCTAATCTGGCTTCCAAGAAATTGGAATTAGAGTGCTGATCATTTATTTGAGACAAGAAGAAACCTCTGTGGCAAGTAGGGAAATGAGATGACAGAACAAATCAAAGATATATTCTCAGTCTACAAAGGGGGCAGCAGGAGCTGAATCCCACAGGGGCCACTGTGGGAACCAGTGTAGGATGTGTACCTCTTAATTAACACCAGGCAAGGAAAGATGGAGCTGGGAACTTATGGGTAAGTTCTCCAACATCTCTGGGCCATCGGATGCATCCTGGGGGTAAGAACTTTCTGGTGTATCCACACTGTCCTTTAGGCAGGCACAGAGACTTTTGGTGGCCAGAAAGTATCATCTAGAAACTGGAAACCAGCTGTGTGCCCTGAATTAGGGAGCATGAGGAGACATATATAAGAGAAGTTTGTGTTTCGGTGCCCTAAATTCATGCAGGAATGCTGGCCAGCCAACCGGTGCTTTGTTTCAGATATGTTTTCATTTGCCCACTTTCCGTGTTTGTAAATAAATTTGAGTTAACCACCAAAATGTACAAAGTGGAGAGATGTCCCATAATAACCTCATTTCCAGTTTTTCTGAAAAAGTAGGATCTGGGCCCACATTTCCTGGCAACAATGGGATTGAGAACAGCCATAGCTGTTCCTCTTAGACAAGGCATGTGCTATCCTGGCCCTTGACTGCGTGGGATCGCTTAATATCTATTAGTTACCTGACCCCGGTGACATCTGAGTTTGAGACCCCCTGTTCTGAAAGTCTGCTGCTATCCTGATCTTTCTGTAAGCAATACGAACACAGTCCATTTTGTATGCTTTACTTCTCCTTTCCAGCACTATGAGTGGACGCCACATTTTCCCCATCACAACCTTTTAATCCCCGTGGGATACTTCTCAATGAAAGAACCAGGAGACCAGAGACACTAAAACATATCAGGACCCCAGAGCTATTACAAACCTTTGTACTTTGGACCAGAGATGCCAATCTCAATATATATGAAATTTCATAAATACATATATGCAAATTTCAAAGGACAATCTGCTTTTCATGAATTTGTGTCTTTCTTTTATTTTTTTAATCTCTCAATATGAAACTCCAATATTTTTCCTTCATCCCTCCCTATTCCCTTCCCTCCCTCCCTTCCTCCCTTTCTCCCTCCCTCCCTCCCTTCCTCCCTCTCTTCCTTCCTTCCTTCTTTCCTTCCTTCCTTTTCTTAAGCTTTGCTTGTTCAATATACTCCACGTAAACACTTGGGTTTGTCTAATAAGTAATTAAATCCCCCCATCACAAACCCCAGATCTCCTGTGTTTCACTGGAAATCTCTCTGTACCCTCCAGGGGAGCTGGCACTGTTATTTATTGTTTTTGTTTCAAATCATTATTTAATCAAGAAAGGAAAAAAGGCAACCTCTCACTTACACTTCAAAATTTAATTTCAGATGAATTCCGAGATCAAGAGGCAGCTTGGCCTAATAGGTTACAAAAATACAATCAAGAAGAGAATTCCAATTAAACTGAACAAGTCCATTTACGGAGCTTCAAACGGCCCCATGGAGAGAGACGGCTATAAATTTTTTACTCCCTCTTTGCCATATGGGGGACTGGAAATTCTCATGTGAGTATAGAGCTGCGTGGCAGAGCTTTTAGCTAGAGGGTTCTGGTTATTCTTTTATTTAAAAAAAAATCCTTTTGTTTCACAAAGACATTAAGTTTATTTTCCTTGCTGTTGTTCATCTTCCTTCGAACACTAATTAGGAAGACAGCAAAAGAATGGATTCATTGACCTGCTGGGAGTTCATCAACAAGGGGGAGGAGATGGAGAAAGACAGAGAGAGCTGCTGAGATTATGGGGAGATGACAAAGTCCTCTAAGATGAGGGTCACTGCCAGGGCAGGCAGTGCAGCTGACCCTGGGAAGGAGGAGGTGGTTTCACCTTCTGGCTCCTTTCTTTCACCAGGAATCTGAAAGGAACAGTGGCTTCTGGCTCCTCCTTTACCAGGAACTTCTCTGGAGGGCCCCTGCTCACTGACTTTGGGAAAAAAATCTCTACATAGCTGCAGCTAGACAATATGTTTCCCTTGCCAAGATTGAAAAGACAAAGGTAAGTTCAGAGTAATGAGTTTTTCATCCAGCATCATACATTTGATTTGGACATCTTTTGGCTCCAGGTCACATCATTCCTACATTTTCTAGTGATGGAAGACAGTAGTGTTCCTTCTGTCTTGGCACAAGTAGAGGTTGACACTACCATGTAACATGTCAAAAAAAAAAAAAAACCAACACAAGGGGGTCCTCCAAATCCCCAGTGTCACCCCATCCTTTGGGTTCTGTCTGCAACAATAAATGGCTTGGATGTTGAGGCTCCCAGGGGTGTCCTAGACCCTGGAGCAGGGTTCTGAAGGCCAGAGCCATCCACACTCTCCTTCAGCCTCATTTTCTCTATCTGCAGAAGGGGGAGCAAATGCCCATGTGTCTTTCTGCCATGGCAGTTATGATGTCCACCTGTGATTCTGTATATGATTAAATTCTTCAAGGCCGGAGATTGCTTCTGGGCTTATTTGGAGATGACAAAAAATAACGGTAGCATCTATTGTATATGGAGTGTTACATCTCCAAATTTGGGATAAGCTTTCTGCACAGAAGTGACATGTAAGTAAGCACTGCTGTTTGCCAGTGACTGGAACAGTGTCTAACACATAGTAGGTGCTTAACGCATATTTCAAAACTGAGCGGATACTGTGTCTTCATCTTCATAACCATCCTGTAAGTAACTAACATTATTAGCCTAAGACACAGATGAGGATACTGAGAGTTGCAAAAGTAAGATGACATGAAGGAGGTTGTAATTAAAAACATGGATTCTGAAATCAGAATTTCTGCGTTCAAAGCCTAGCTTTTTTTTTTTTTTTTTTTTTAACTTGGCTTTTCTAGGCAGTAGTCTAAAAAAGAGTTAGTGGAAGTTCACCTCCAGGTATCTTATAAAAATAAATGACAAGGATTAACATAAAGAATTCAGTCAGGCATCTGGTGCATAATAGTGGCCCAGTAAGTATTAGTTTTTGCTGTCACCCATAGCCTCATAGGGACACAAGTTCAAGGATTCCAGAGAACCCGGATCTACTTGCATGTCTTCATTATTCATGCTGTTTTGCCTTCTTCAGCTTATAGCTATTGTGAGACTCTTTGCTGGATCTCACGTTCTGTATTTTCCTTTGTCTTCCTATCTGTGCAGGTGTTTGGTGACAGGAGGTTTGAGGCCACTACTGGCCTAAGCTAAAAGCATGAAGAACAAAACAAAGAATCCTGCCCTCCTCCTGGGTCCAGCTTCACACTGATCAGGACCCTTCTACAGTCTCTCCAGTGATGAGGGACTTTAATAGATAAGTTCACACACAGAGAAAGGGTTTGGCCATACCTTGACCCTCAGCCTTCTCTTCTTGTCATCTGCCCTCCATGCTTGCTATCAGAGTAAGTTTCCAAGGCATGAGCTCTGATCCCTACCAGCCCTATTTCCTCCCAACTGAGCTGTTTTCCTGGGTCAGTTCGCCTCTCAGAGCCTCGATTATCCCATCTGAAAAAAGGTGTTAATAGTTTCATCTCTCTCAAAGAACTGTTGTGTGGATCAACTGAAGGCAAAACTGTGTAAAGTATGTGACAGTGCCTGCCACATAGTGGTTTTCCTCCCTCTTTCCCACCAACAGCCATCTCAAACTAAGGAACTCCTACCCATCCTTCAAAGCCCAAGTCAAATGTTCTCTTATTATAAAACCATCTGAGACATCAAGACATTTTCTGACCCTTCTCATGTATATTTTACTTGCTTTCACCACTGCCAGGGGTGACATGAAAATTATCAACACTTGCTTGGGTATAGACATCGTCTCATTAGAATGGATGTTGGTCTTGATGTTGAAGGAGATTCAGTGTCATATTTTAGTGGCTAGATTGTGAGGCAGTCCAGAAAGTGTCAAGGGAAGAAAGGGATAAATGGGTTGATGGGATGGGGTGCACTGGTGACAGGGACTGCTTGCCAAATGGCATGCAAATATTTCAGTATTTTCACAGGGAGAGTTGGTATGGGTACACACGGATTTGATCTTAGCCTTAAGATTAACACTATAGCCCTATATTGCAGCATTCTGTTGGTTGTTAGACTATATACTCCAGGAGTTAAGGAAGACTATCTATCTCATCTCCCAGCTGCCTTGAAGAGAAATGGTCGAGGGAAAATAAGACCCCTTAGTAGGTTGTTAAGGGATCCTACCCTATCTCCATAAGACCTTCTGTTTGATTCCAGGTTCTCTCCAAACAACGGAGCCTCAAGTTACCTTAGCTCATGAGCTAGAATTTCCCTAGTAGTCAAGCCCAGTATTTGCATAATCATATATGCAAATGAGACCTACTAATGTGATATGCCCATCCTTGATATTTTAAAGAGCTACGCATGTTAAGTGCCAGCAGCTGAGTGTGGCAGGAGCCGTCGTACAGAAGACTCTTCACGCTCAGGTTCTTCTTCTCCTCCAGAAGCCTGTAATTGAGTCTCAAACCTCATCTCCAATCTTTGTTTCTCCCTTTCATTGGCTAAATGCTGCCCTGCCTTAGTTTCTCAGGTCATTGTTATTTCTTCTGCCTACCTAACTCCTAACCCCTTCTTCTGCCTGCTAATTTTCTCCCCAATCCCAGCCCTGATTATTGAGCACTGTCTGTCTCTCACCGTGATAAGGTACAAGCTGTTTCTTTTTCACTCCTAGGATCCCAAAAACCAAGACAGACCCTGACCCTTGAAAGATGCTCTGTAGATGCTGATAGACTTGAATGAATGTTTGACAGGTGATTTCATGAAACAGACTCTGATGTTTTCTCTAACTTTTGGAGCCAGGCTTTTGGAACACTGCTGGGCCCACCTGGAGCCTTCTTCTATGCATGCCTTTGCAATAGAGAAGATGACAAAGGCTTGAGCATGGAAGGTTCACAGCAGACCAGATCCAGGGGATGTCAGGTTATTCCAGGAGCCAGGCAACCTGGAGAGGCTAGACAGTCATTTGGGCTGCAGCTGCCACTTGGAACAGGAAGAAACTGGTCTCTGCCATCTCTGTTGCTATCACCGCCACTTCCATTGTTACTGCAGCTGTCACTATCTGCAAGCAGTAGATGGACTTGCTCCTCCTGCACCACCTTCCACAGTTTTTATTTACATTAAGTCCTGGCAATCTCACGAGCTCGGTCTCTGATTGTTGTTTTGCTGATTCAAAGGAGAATGAGACACAGTGTTTATATAACTTGCTCACGACTTCACAGCTGCTCACGTGCATAGCGGGGACCTGAAATGTTGTTATCATCACGCGACTAATGTTCACTGAGTTTTGCCCCTGGGGCAAGCACTGGACTCAAAATTGTCTTTTGAATAAGAGCCTGGCTTTATCTATTATCATTATTTTCCAGATGAGGAAACTAAGGCTCAGAAAGGTTTAAATAATCTACACACAGCTCAGAGCCAGGATTTTAGCACAAAATCATAATCCATGGATTTTAAACAAGTCCGCCTTGCTGTACACAGCCCATGGAAATCTTCTCTTTTCTGTGAGCCTTGTTTTCATTCCTGGTAATCAGGGCAGTGGGCTTAGATGAACTCCTAAGGTCTCTGCTGTTATTTCTAACAGACAGGAAAACCTTGGGGCCATGATTCTTGGTTAATCTTTGTTCAACCTGGAGCCTCCTTTCATCTCTGCCTTGTAAGAAGAAAGATTAGAAAGCCCTGAGTATGGACTACATCTATGTAGGTGATGATGGCCTTAGATTTCAGCTCTTCCCATCAGGGCTGGACTCATGTGGGACGTTGAGGCATGTTACACAAAAGCCATCTAAAACCTGTGTGTTTTAGGACAACAAACTGCCAGGAGCCAACCTGGTACATTAATGGCTGGTGTGCAAGGGCAGCTCCCGCTTTCTGTGACCTCTTGACCTTTTGTAAGGGAAACATCCTTGACCTATAGTATAGGTTGTTTCCAGTGGTGCTTGGTACTAGGGTCAGTTAGGCTTTCTAGAGAAGCCCCCACAAACACTATGACCAGGGAGGCTGGGCAGCCCTAGCTCCTTTGACGCATTCTTCTATATTGTATGGCTCATATTTCAAATTCATTTTCACCTTTGTCCTGGGAGGCAAGGAGGATAACATAACCATGCCTGCTTCTCAGTTGAGGAAGCTGAGGCTGGGAGGGGTAAAATGATCATTTTAATCAAGTCAAAACTTGCACCCAGGCCTCTGGATTCTCTGGTGTGGACACCTCCCTTCCCTTCTTTGGTACTTGCAGTTGAATTCAGGGCCTTTGGAGTGTGTGACATGTCCTTCCTTCTTTCAGAGTTTTGCTAAGCTGCCCCTAGCTGTGCTTGAAGTTATGATCCTCCTGCTTCAGCCTCCCAGAATGCTGAAATTATAGGCGCGCACCACCACCCCTGGTTGAGAACCCCCATTTTAGGACATTTAAGGAGGAGAGAATGCAAGCGTGTATCCACCCTGTACAAGTGCTCAGTAACCGTGGGCCTTCTCACAAAGAAGGCATCTGGGGAGAGCTGTGGATGGACCCCGGTAGGCAGAGGATTTGGAGCAAAATGAGACCTTGGTGACCAAGGGGGCTGAGTGGAGAAGAAGGATTTCCCAGAATGTACTGTGGAGAGCTGTTACATTAAGTGGGGCTCTCTGTGGCTTACCCCTGCCTCACATTTCTTGACCTCCCTGCAAGCAACCCTGAACTTTTCCTGGCTTCTACCTTATTTAAGTTCAAAAAGGAGCAGCTCCCTGAAGTTTTCAAGTTCTCAAATAGCTGGACAAACAGGTCATTTGTTTACAGCATCTTAAAATCTTAGGTCCGTCCCTTCCTAGCTGTGTGGCTATAAGTATTGGCTGTTCCAACACTGACTTTGCCCCCTCTTCATCTGCCTCTGTTTCCATTGTTACATTGGGTTTGCTCTTCCCTTGCTCTGCGACTTTAGCCCACAGTTTAACTTTTCTGAGCTCGGTGTTTCTGCTTCCTATGTGGAAGGGATGACTGACAGCAGCTGTTCCCTCAAGCACTGAAGATCTTGGGTAGACACATGAGAACAGACAGGTCAAGTATCATGAGCTCCTTAGAGGAAAATTCTCATATAAATTCAAGGTTGCATTTATAGTTGGAATCAAATTCCAGCTGCCAACAAATGCTGCCAGCCAGCTGGCATAAACAATGCAGAATTTGAGTAAAAACCTAGACCTGTGTCACGTCAAAGACCCTTGTCCCCACCTCTTGTTCTCTGACCCTTTTCAGAGAAATTTGCTATGATATCTCACACATGTATTCTTGCAGGTGTCACTCTGGAGACCAATATTTATTATACAACATCCCCTGCTAAAAGATCCTGGGTATTTTAGGTTTTCTTCCTCTGCCCCCCAGATCCCCAAGCCAAGTGTTGCCAAAGGCTGCGGAATGACCATTTGGTTAATTACGAATGAGGTCTGGAGCCAGTGGGATATTTTGCTCAAAACTGAATTAAAATGTGTCATACACTGCCCTGAACTTGTACCTCCACCTCCCCCAAGTGTGGTGGCAAGGCTGGCAGAGGAGGCTGTACAGAATACTTACTACACCCCTGGCCGACAGGAAGCTGAGCATCTGGAGAGGCTGGCTGGGAGGATGGCTGGACCGGGCCTCGGGGCTGGCCTTGCCGAGAGTCTTGGAGCAGCGGCGGGAGTGCCTTTGGCGGGACTTCCGCCCTTCCTTAGGGGACCGGCCTCGGTGCCTGGAGGCAGGGGAGAGAGCCCTGAGGGTCTTTTGAAGGTAAGCAGGATAGAGAGACAATTGAGGGACCAACCTATCTGAAGGTGATGGTGTATCTGTGTGTGCTTGTACATGTTCATATAATGGAGTCCCTGGGTATGTTTAAATGTGTGTGTGTGAAAATTGGACTGTGTGTATATCCACCAATACATCTATTCATGCATATACCTACCTACTCACTAATCCATCCATCTATCCATCCATCCATCCATCCATCCATCCATCCATCCATCCATCCATCCATCCATCTTTCCATCCATGCATCCATCCATCCATCCATCCATCCATCCATCCATCCATCCATCCATCCATCCATCCATTTTTCCATCCTTCTGCCCATTCATCCATCCATCCACCTCCCCAACCATACATCTATCCACCCATTCAATCCTCATTCATTGTCTCATTTGGCTTTTTGATAGCTGCTCATGACCCGATTTGGAGGACTAATGTTCACCTGTGAATAGAGCAAAGGTCCTTTCCTTTTTTTAAAAAAATGTCCTTTCCTGATTTCTTTATGTCCCCATGTGATTTTCTGCCATGTGACCATGTGTATGTTTGGGCATGGTTGTCCATGTTTCTAAGAGTTTGTTGATAGATGTAGCTGCCAGTGTTCCTTCCATGGAATGGAGGCAAAACTTTGAATGTTACCAAAATATTGGGGGAAAGGTGACGGAACAAAGATACAGAAATAGCTCTGAAAACTTGTTAAGTTCAGATCTGGCTGTCCTGTCTGCATTGATATCAGGGGCCTGTGTGACCCTTAGAAGGGGCAAGTTTGGTGCAGGCCCCATCGACTCTCTGAGACATGGCAGGAAATAGAAATAACATAGTATGGAATTGGCTAGCACCTAGAAACCCCTCCTGAGTCACCTTCAGAGTCCTCTCTACCACTTCAAGACATAGGCAGATCAGGTTCTACTTTCTCATTTTGCAGATGAGGGAACTGAGAGCTCCAAGGCAGTCAGGATGCTGCCTAAGATCACACAGCTTAAAAGTAGTAGGACCAGAACAGATTTGTGCACCTGTAGGAAATGACCTGTTTTTTGTGATTATTGCTCTGGACTACCCTTCTCTCATCTGGGGTGAGAGAAGTTTACTCTCAGGCCTGTTGGAGAGCCCCGTGGGCTTAGCAGCCACTCAGGTTGCAACACCACCAGGAGCCAGGACAGCAGCAGGATGCCTGGGGCGAGTGTCTGTGGTGCTAACCATTTCTCTTGCAGGTAAGTTGCTGGGTCTCTGCATAATCCTCTGGCCTAGACCAGGAGGCCTTAGCCAGGAAGAGCAATTTGGCGATGGAGCAACCAGGATGAACTGCTCGGAACTGTGTCCTAGCATCCTAGTTGTGCGATCTCACTTAGGCCTCTTTGCCCACCACAAGGCTGTTTTCTCAGCTGTAACTTGTCGGTGATGTGGTTTAGCTCAGGAGCCCATGCATGGCTGAACAAGCCTCAAGTCAATGGAGCCTGAAAAGCATGGTGGAGTACAGGGTGTCTCTGTAAGAGGGTGTTAGGGTGAGCCTGTCATAGCCTTTGGCTTGCTGTAGGTGGTTTTGGAGAGCCTCCAAGGAATGAGGGCCCTATTCTGGATTAGATGCTTGCAGAAAGCAGAGTAATTCAATGACTGGGCACCTCCATTCATCTTCTCTAGAAAGAGAGGACTAGATTATGGCCAATGACCTAACTGTCTAATAAGCAGGAACCACTCAAAGGAGATAGACAGGCATTTGGAAGATGTCATGTTTGGGACGAAGCTCTCATTTCACCTGGACACAGGTACAAGTACAGAGGGGTTCTGTTTCTGTCTTGCACAATCAGGCTCACAACAGAGCCACATCTGATGGTGATGTTGGCCGTTGATGTTTAGTAGGGACACCAAGGCCAGGTTCTAACAGGGGCTGCTGTCTCCACTGCTTCCCACATGGCACTGTGTGCGTCAACCTCTGGAGAGATTTAAATACCACCCTGACACTACTGTGGCTGAATTATAGGAAGGTGGCTGGACGGTGGGACCCAGGCATCGCTATTAAAAACCAAACAAACTCCTAAGGTGATTGAAAAGTGCAGCTGAAGAGGAGAAGCACTGTCTAGTTCATGGTGCTACTTGGCTGAATAAGACTGAGAAAGTATTTAGAATAGCAGCATAGTGCCTGGCATAGAGCAGGATCTGAGTAAATATTTTTTTTTTCTTCCAACCTCTCTTCCTCCTCCTTTTCTTCTCCTTCCATCCTCCTCCTCCTGTTGCCTCCTTCCCTTTCCTCTTCATCTTGCCTGTCTTCCTCCTTTTGTCTTCCTCCTCCCCTCCTCTTCTTCTCCTCTTCACCTCCTGCTCCTTTCTTCCTATCCCATCCCTCCTGCCTCTTGCTCCTCCTCCTTCTTTCTCTTCCCCCTCCACCTTCTGCCCATCCTTCTTCCATTCTTCTCTTTTCCTTTGGTCTCCTGATTTCTCTGGCATAAGGTGGGGCCCAGATTTTAAAATCTCCCCAGGTGTTGTGGACATGTAGGGTGAGAAACACTTCAGAAGGAGAAAAGCAGCCTGGATATCAGGATCTGGACCTGATGTTCCTGCTGGACCTCAACAATCCCAAACAGCATCACCACCAAAACCCTACTTCTTATTGTTCTCATTCTTGTCCCTCTGCTTTTTCTTTCCTTGCTCCTTCCTCTTCTCATCCACAGGAGAAACCCTCTCCCCTATGTAGGCAAGGACACTCAGT